CCTCCGCGGCCTGCTGGCGGCTACGAGAGCCCAAACCGCTCTTAATCCGAACCATCCCCCTACTAGCCCTCCTCAGCGAGACTACCACCGCTCCTTAGCGAGACCAAAACCGCGCTCTAATCCGAACCATCCCCTATTACGACCATCGCCCAAGCCTACAGCTGACCATGCAGGTTGCCTCTAAATTATGCAAATAATTGGAATGTAAACTAAATCGCACGCGCGTGGCAGGCCCTGGGAAGTCCCGAACGAGATGTACCCGGGCAGCCCCACAAATCCCACCAGGCCCACGACGGAATCCGATCGCAACCGACTCATACGCCCGGCACCTCGGATGACCCGAAGGCTCGCCCTCGCCCGCTTACCCAGAACGGCCCGCCAGGGAGACCTTTGCGGCTGGCGGGGAAGCCTCCACGGCGCCCCAGCGAAACCACAGCGGACCGCCGCGCGAGGCCTCCGCGACCTGCCAGCGACACGCCGTCAGCTGAATTGGATAGACCCCCCCAGGCCCACCAGCCCTAACCGTAACCCATATCATTTCTTCTGCTAGTAGTGACCCTAGAATACGGCCGACCCCGCACTAGTCCTGAAGCCCGCCCCCGCCAACCTCCACGACCTCGCCTGCCAGCGAAACCTCCGCGGCCAGCCGGCGGAGCCTCGCGGCCTGCCGGCGAAACCTCCGCGGCCTGCCAGCGGAACCTACGCGGCGGCCTCGCGGCGAAGCCTCCGTAGCCTGCCAGCGGGACCTTCGCGCATTGCAAACGAGGCCCCCGCGGCCGACCTGCAAACCTAGTGGGCCTGGAGTGGGAGGCCCCCCCCTAACGCGACCAGCCAGAGCCTAAATCTGCATCGTCCTTCACACAGCCATGAATATTACCCTCGCTTACGCCTGCGCCCTGGCAGGGCCGTTGAAAGCTGCGCCGCACTCCAAGCATGTCAGGCCGACCCATTGTGAAATATTCGCCGGCACAGAGAGACAGAGGAAAACTAAAATCCTCGGTCGAAACTTCGGAACATTGACTCATTTGCGCGAAGGTGAACACCCTGGGCCCCCCCAGAAAGGAAAAAACAACGTGAAGCCCCCGGCAAGGTCCCGCCAGACATCCAGTTTACTCTAGGTCAAGGATGCCTGAACACCTGAGCTCGCCCCCGTGGCCCCCCCGAAACGCTGGTGGAGGAGGCGCCATATAAGCGGCAGGCCGCGCAACCCCAGGACAAAAACGCTCCAAGACGGCCCAAGTTCGTCTCAAACCGGCCCAAGACGATCCAAAACTACACAAGCCACGCTGCAAAAAAAAACATACGTAGAACGAGACCCCTTCTCCTTATCGATATGCCCTCCCGTGAACCTCCACCGAATCTGGGGAGTGGTGCCAAATGGTCCTCTTTGGCTCGGGATGGTCCCAAGGACACCATGACCGAAGATGCACAATCCTACAGACTCGGCGTCGCACTCAGCACTGCTCAGGTCACTCAGACTTCCTCGCGCGAATCCGAGGACCATCACGTGCCGACGTGCGCATGGCACGTGAGAATCGGTAGCCCCCTGCCCCTGCTCGCCCTTTCCTCACGATTTGATTCTTCTTGTTAGGCGAATTGTCGGGAGCAGGGCTCGACACCCCCCAACATGCGGTCTGACCGCAGCAGACCAACGCGACCCGGTCCACAGAACCCAAAACAATGCACATAATGGTCAGACCCAGCCCCGTTTAATCCCCAACACGGAAGTGACCGCGCATGAAACACCTGAAAACTCCACCGGGCCGCCTGGGGGCCTTCGTGGACTCTTCCTACGCCCTGGTAGGCACCCGTCAAACGTTACTGGTGTTCTGTCCCATGCGTTCGGCCCGTTTCGGTGGACCTTGAGCAACGCTCGGCTATTTCGGGCACCCTGACGTGGATGGTGCGCAAGGATACGGAAAAACCGACGTCCAGATCACCGATCCGTTGATGACGGCGGCGGAACGCAATCGAAAGGACAAAGTCGCCATCGATGGGCCGCGCGGCATACCTGAGCCCAATAAGCGATGGGACGGGAAAAAATGACACCCACGAGAAGACAACAAACCGCACCTAAGGGGTCTCGTGCTATTTTCCGTCTATGATCATCCAGTCTTGCAGCTGCCTCCCCTCATCCGGCGAGGGCAAGACTGGGCGGGCGGTGAACGCGAAGCGTCTTGAATAACACTTTCTGACCATCAGCGTCGATATGTATGCGCCTCCGCTCTGGCAGGCGCACTGCCACGTCACCAAGCGAATCGCCAACGTGAGCGTCGGGGTCCAACATACAAGGCGAGCTACATTATCGGAGCCACGCGCGCTGGAGCGACAACGGTCTCGGAAAAAAAGGACTGCAGATCATGAGACTGCCCCCCCCCCCCCCCTCCGGAGGCGGATGACGGAGTGGGTGGGAATGAACGGTAGCATGAATGAAGGGGGGGGCCTCACATTTCAGATGACCCGACGACCCTCAGGGCTTACAAGGCGGCGATGGTGGACCCAACTCTGTGTTTCTCCCTCTTTCGCGCCTCTCCCTACTTCCCTTTGTCCTGATAGTTGTTTCTCTTTCTCGCGCCTCGTCATTCGATCCGCCCTCCTCCTCCTCCTCCTACTTGTCCCTTCCCTTCCTCCCCACCCATACCCTAAACTCCTCATTCTCTGCTCCCCCATCTTCCCATTGCCCTCCATGTTCTCGGCCTCCTCCTTCCTCTCATCCCGTCCTCCTCCCTCCCCTGTCTTGCGCCACTGCTCTGCTCTTGCTTCTCTTCCGCTTCCATGCTCATACTCATCCTCCTTCCTTGAAATAGAATCACTCTTTCCTCTTATCCTGATCTGCCTTCCTGTCAACATTGGCCCTGCTGTTTTTTGGAGGTGGCGTGGTCGTCGCAGGTTGCTGTCGGCGCGACTGTCCTGATAAGGGCGGGGAGACACCAAAGACCAAGGTAAGCCAACAGAAAGAGGAGGGAGAAGAAGGGGGGGAGCCAAAGACGAAGAGATGGCAGGCGGAGTCTGCTCTGTCTGATGCGACTCAAAGCCGTGCAACGGTCGAATCCAGGGTCTGGTGTGGACGGTTCTGGGGGTTCCGAGGAACCGAGTGCACGGCCCTGCGGTTCCTTAAAGAGTAGTAGACGCTTCAGTACCTGTCTTGACACCGAACGCGCTCGAGCCGAAGCCGTGGGATCCCGGGTAAAAGGGCAAGCTAGACGATCAGTTTGATCAAACAGGCGATGACGTGCAAAGATATGCAAGCGCGAGTGCAATGGCTGGACCATAGTCTGGGCGATGGCAAACGAGGGGCCGCGAGGTGGTGGCGACGATTTCGTTTCGAGGACTCCGATAAAAAAACGTGGCGGCATAAAACACGGGCGCCGCACAACAAAAAGGTGTACACCCACACGAACACGCATTTGCCTCCGACGGGCGGCTGAATCCAAACCACGAATGCGAAGCAACGGAACGCGTGTACGTCGAATTGGCTTCCTCATGAACGAATGCAGAAACCAAGGCAAGAAAATGCGCGGCACAGGAGCGCCGAAGGAGCGACAGTGACACCAACGAACCCCGGCAGAGAAGAGAGGCAGGAGGAGCGGGAACTGCACGAGGACACACACTGGTCCCGATGCGCACCCGGCCCAAGAAGACTTGCCATGTGCGCTGGCTCTGCCTACGCGTGCCCAATCACAATTTACACGGATCAAGACGAAATCAGGACAAGGATAACATCGCGTGTGGATACATCGAGAATCTCTGGTATCCGGCGGCTCTGAAAAATGTATCGGGCGCCGCGGCCTTCTCAGAGCGTTCCAGAAGTTCTGGGATGGATATATCCTCGTCCTAGCCCCATCCGACAAGAAGACTTAACCATGTGCGCTGGCTGCCCACGCGAGTCCAGCACAATTTACACTGTTGCCGAGTGAGGGGGCATCTCGCAAGTAACTCCGTCAGTGTGGGGGGCAAGTCGCTGCAGTTTGGCGAAAATGGTGGCAGTCATCACCAACGGGCAGCTCCCTCTGACCTTGCCCAGACGACGAGCCCGACTGCCAACAGACAGTCCAGGCCACGTAGGCCAGCCCTCCCCTGCGGAGGAGGAGTGGGTGGAAGGGGGCTCGGGGAGCAAGGAGGGTATCGCTGGCCGAGACATTCAATCACGACGGCTCTCGGCAACCTTGCTGGGCACAGCTCACAACGCTCGGCACCGATAGGCCGTGACGTATTGAAGATGCTCGCGCCAAGTCGAGGCTATTCTCTACTAGCTAGACCAGATCGGTGCAGGAGGAAGTCGAGGCCCGACTGTATCTGCGTCCACCTCTCTCGGGCACACGCTACCACAGATTACAGATCCGAGAGTCTGGCATACGGTCGACATATCCATGCACGGGGGAGCGCATCCCACTACAACAGAAAAGCCAACGCCGCCTCGTTTAGCGACGGAGCGCGTCGAGTTCGCATGGCAACGGGACCCGTACTCCAGTCGCCTCAATCCATGGTTTCGTTTCCCCGACTCTTGAAGACAGAACCCAGACAGAACCCATGATCTGCGAGCCCCTTGGGGTGCAAGCGGCCTTTGCCATCCCCATGGGGTGTACAAGGTAAACTCCCTCCAACTCACGAGCCGTGGAAGGTGGACGTGGTCGCACATCGAACACGCACTGTGAATGGATTCGGCATTTGAAACATGCGGCACTGAGACATGGAGCTCTATGGCGAGGAGGCCCTGAACAATCAAATTCAACCTGGAATTATGTTCCTTTCCTCTGGGCGGACGAAATCGGAAATGGCAGAGGGAGAGTTCGGGGATCAGCCGCATCTAGTTGATTGTTTGAGCGCCCCCCTACGTCGGGAGCGACCATGTATCATGGAAAGCGCCAGGCGGCGGCGCCGAAACCATCTGCATGTTGCAATTTTCGTATCCGCTCTTCCCAATCCTTTCCGTCCAACCCGATGTCCATTTGGGCCCTATCCCTCGAGGCGCCGAATTTAACCCCCCAGTGAAAAAGCACCCAGTCAAGCCACTCCGGCGTGGCAACGTTCATGGTCGTCCGCAACTGCATGAGGTACCACTCGGTCTCCTGCGCCCCCCGTGGGCAGCGAAAACGGACTACGGCGGTTGAGGAGGCGCCGGGTGGAGCAAATCCCACTTCCAGAAATAAGACCCCAAACCTCCAACGTATTGAAACAGTATCGGCCCATGATCCCGGAAAGGGAAACGCCCACATAGATATAATACCTATGTGTAGAATGTTTGAAAACGTTCTAGAAACTGAAACGTTTCATACTAGCTACTTTGGGCGACCACCAACGGCAACTCTGAGAACACCTCTGTCAATTAGAGATACAGTGCCACGGGCTCTGCTGTGCCGTTCTGTGCCGCGCTGTGCTGATTATTGCTGTGTTGACCCATGCTGTTCTCTGTTGCGTTGTGGCAAGAGGTCGTTGTTGGCATCCGTACGTTGAACGAACGTATCTGGATGCTTGGCTCGAACGGTCTGAAAGCATGCTTCGGCCTGAGCTTGCTGCAGTCGGAACGTGCGAGACTCTCAACCAGCTCGAGCGCAAGATCAGGTGTAGTTCCGAAGAGGGGCGAGGAGAGGGCGACTATACTTTTGTTTTACTAGCGCAAGAGCAATCGCCCCGTGGCTAAGAAAAACGGGGGAGAACAGAAACGGAGGAAGGGGGAGGAGAAGCAGCAGCAATAGCAGGCAGCGTAAGCGGCGCAGCCAGCGGCCGCCGCCTGTCGCCCCGGCTTTGCGGCAGCAGCCCGGCTAGGCTAGGCGGAGGGCCCCGTGCGCGGGGAGCAAAGCCGCGGGGCTCAGGGCGGCCATGGAGCCCGTCGTCGCATCCAGCAGCGCCACCGCCTCGGGAGGGGCCCGCCAGGCCGCCGCCCGCGCCCGGAGCGCGTCGGCCTGCGCCGCCTCCGGCTGGCCGGCCAGGCCGGCCGCCTCCCAAATAAGCCGCGCCGCTTCCGCAGCGGCGCCCGCGGCCGCGTCGCCGCCTGGTTTGCCGTTGGCACCGTCCGTCGCCTCACCTGCGCAGGCCTCCTCGGCGCAGCTCCCCGCCTGCCAGGTGGCCGCGCGGCTGCCCCAGCCCTCGCCTGGGTCGCTGGCGTCTTCCGACGCGTCAGCCCAAAACTGGGGGCCGTTCAGCGCCCAGCATGGCGCCTCCAGCGCGTCGCACTCCCTCTCGATGGAGTGCTCGCCCCAGTCCAGGTGCACGAGCTCGAGCGGCTCGCGCGGCCGGCGGCCTCTCAGGCCGCGTGCGCTCCCGCCCCGAGGGTCCACCGGAGGAGGACCTGCCCCTCCAGGACGTTCACCACCGTGAACCCCGACCAGCTGGCCTGGACACAGGGGGCGACTACACGCATCACGGGAAGGACCAGGGACGCGCCCGCGAATGCGCCAGGGACTCAAGGGGCGTGTCAGGGACATGCCACGGGACGAGCAAAGGGGCGCGCCAGGGGATGCGCCAGGGGACGAGCCAGGGAGCATGCCAGCAGACATGCAGGGGGACGTCCCATGGGACGCGCCAGGAGACGCGCCAGTGGACGCGCCAGTGGACGGGCCAAGGGGCATTCCAAGTGACGCGGCACGGCACGCGTAGAGGACGCGCCAGGGGAAGAGCCATGGGACGCGCCAGGGGACGTGCAAAGGGGACGTGCAAAGGGGGTCAGCGGACGCGCCACGGATGCGCCAATAGACGTGTCAGGGGGCGTGGCAGAGGACGCGCTAGGGGACGTGCCAAGGAAGGCGCCAGGAAACGCCAAGGAACGTGCTATGGGATGCGCCGCGGAACGTGTCAGGGGACGCGCTACGGGACGGGCCTGGGGACGAGCCACGGGCGATGCAGCGATGCAAGGGACATGCCAGGGGACGTGCCGCGCCACGTGCCAGCGGGCGTACCGCAGACGCGCCATGGGACGCGCCAATGGACGCGCCAAGGGGGGCGCGCCAAGGGACTTGCCAGGGGGCATGTCCGGCGACGCTGCAGACGTGCCAGGGAACGCGAGAGGAGCGTGCCAGAGAACGCGCCAAGGACAGTGCCACGGGCAGTGCCAGCGGACGAGCCAGAGGACGACCATCCCCTAAACTGTATGTGGTCCCCGCTGGATCCGCGCTCCCAGGCCGCGATCCCTTGTAAATTGCAGTGGGCCCTCTCCCAGCGCCACGATCTCTGGTAAATTGCGCTGGAACCGCACTCCAGCGCCACGATCCCTCACACTTATGCTGGGTTCGCGCTCCCAGCGCCACCCTCGTAGATTACGCTGGAACCGCGGCCTCTGGGCCATTCGTAAATTGCCCTGAGACCGCGCGCCCATGGCCAAGTTCCCTTGAAAATTAAGCTTGGCTCACGTTCCCTGGGCCGCGATTCTTCGTACATCATATTGAGTCCGCGCTCCCAGAGCCTCATGGGGGGTATGTCCTCCCCATCCTCCTCCTCCTCCTCCTCCTCCTCCTCCTCCTCCTCCTCCTCCTCCTCCTGCTCCTCCTCCTCCTCAAACTCCCCTCCTCCCCCTGCCCCTCATCCTACAGATCGAGATCGCTTCCGCAGCGGAGCGGGTGCGGCGCGGCTCCTTCGACGTGTAGGGGGAGCCCTTGTAGGTCTCCATGGACCAGTGGGAGAGCACGATCTGGACCTGAGGGGAGGAACCTGGCCTTCTGGCTCCTGACCAGCCCCAGGAGGCCACATCAGATAGCGCACGCAGAGAGCGCAGCGCCAAATAAATTCCCCCTCGTCATCATCCTCCTCCTGCTCCTCCTGCTCTTCCAAATCTGGGGAAACCAACATGCACCGATACGATACAGCTACTCCCCAGATCTATCCTGGGGTGCACTCTGGCCAGGATGTCGAGCGAATCCAGCCTTGGTGACGAGGGCATCCAAGGAGGCCCAAAAAGACGACAACTAGGAATTGATAGCGGTATCCCTGCCCTCCTCCTCCCCCTCCTCCTCCTCCTCCTCCTCCTCCTCCTCATCCTCCTCCTCCTCCTCCTCCTCCTCCTCCCCCTCCTCCCCCTCCTCCCCCTCCTCATCCTCGTCATCCTCCCCCTCCTCCTCCTCCCGGGGACGTGCAGGACGCCCGCCACGGCGTGGGAGACCATGACCCAGCCGACCGCCAGCGCCTCCCCTCGGCCCACCACGCTGCCGAAAGCGCTCTGCGCGGCGCTCAGCGACGACGGCGAGGCAGCGGCCGCCGCCGAGGCCGCCGCCGCCGCCGACGACGACGACGGCGACGACGACGGCGACGGCGACGACGGCGACAGGGAGGACGAGGAGAGGACGAGGGCCTGAACGGTGAGCGGCAGGAGGCGGAGGCAAGGGTTGGACCATGAGCGGCGACCATATTCATGTCAACGCCATCGCGGACTGGATTCCGGGGCGGAATCCCGTGGATACGCGACCGCATGCATACGTTCCGCGTGGGGCATCCACCAAAAAACAACCCGTATCTATGGGGTCGCGGCCCACGGGCCCAGCCCGCGAGGTCGAAGATATGGACATGCTGCCCGCCAACGAGAGGAGGCGAAGGAGAGGTCAAGACCTGGAGGAGAGGAGGACAGGGAGCTGTCGGCTGCGCTCGGGCCAGACTGCCCGAGGCGTTCGCGCACGAGGCTGGGTGAGTTGGCGCGCGCGCGTGGCCTCTGGAAGGATCTCTCCCTCCCCACTCCCACAACCACCGCCATGCTCCTTCCTCTCGGGCACGCGCCAACAAGGATTAGTGATCAATGGATCTGGCGGGTAGGCGCCAGATCCACGGATCGGGAAACACATCCCCTAAAACGTGAGGCCAATGCCGTCTGACTTGGCAACGGAGCGCACCGACTCTGTACGGAAACAGGGGCCGTCGCTCTCCCCCTCCCTCCCCGTCCCCTCCCCCCTCGGCCCTGCTCCATCCCCTCCCTTCCATCCCCTGTGCCCTCCCATCCCCCGAAGCCACTCCATCGAAGCCCTCGCCTCCCCCTCCCGCGAGGCAGGCCTTGCTGCTGGGCGCGGGCAGGGGAGGGCCAGAGCAGGGGAGGGAATGTGTGTTCCAGCTATCGAGTCGGTCAGTTCGTCATCGAGTTGTCGCAAACGTCGGATGCTAAAGTGCTCGTGCCCAGTCACTCCTCCTGCTCACGTCCCGAATAGCCGAATTACTCCCGCCCTCCTCCCTAGCTCGTTCTCTGCATCCTCCCCCTCTCTCCTGCCTCGTTCTCTCTCTTCCTCACCACTCGTCTCCCTTCTCCCTCCTCTTCCTCCTCCCTCCCCCATTTTCAGAAAGTCAAACGTGCTGACGTGCGTTCGGTAGCCCTCCCCGGGCCCAGGTCGGCATGGAGAGGGCCAGGGAGAGCATCCACGCGAAGAACGCGCAAATACCAACGAGCTCGGACTTCCGGTAGAGGGCCTGGGCGCGGCGGAGAAAGTAGGGAAGGGAAGAGGTGCGCCCGCGCCTCATCTGACAACGTATCCCTCCCTCCCATCCCTTCGCATGGCGTAGATGCTCTCCATCCGCGGACGCGTGTCATAGCCGACCTGCGACTCCCACAGAAAGGCCACTTCGTGTTACGCGTAATCGGAAAAGGGGAGCTGCGTGCACAGGAGGAGGTGGTGGGTCAGCAGGAGGTTGAGAGGTATGAACACGATGAAGATAAACAACAACAACAACAACAACAACAACAACAACAACAACAACAACAACAACAACAACAACAACAACAACAACAATCATTTTACCCGAACGCTCAGTGTTCTCCCCAGTGCCAGGGTTTTCATGCGACGCCAGCCAATACCCCCACTTCGTGGGGGGGCAATGCAAGCTCTACCAAACATCCACACGACTCTCGGGAACCACCCACACCCAGCTTCCCGCCCTATGACGTCAGGACACTTCACTTCGTGGCGCGCGGACGATCGTGGATACTACACTGGCGTGGAGTACACACCCGCAGAGGTTGATCACTTGTTTGGGCCCCGCATGTGCCCCGCATCGTGCATTTGTTGCGCATGACATACATAGTACAAAGACAGAGAGAGAGACAGAGGACAGCGCGCGCGGGTGGAAATTTTGAAAAGTCGTGCAGGTGTTTTTCGAGGACCTACGGTGCGATTCGTGTGATTTTATGATGCGCGGTGCTAAAATTCTTAAAAACCCAATGGTTTTTGGAGATTTCGGCGTGCGCGCGCGAAGAAAAAACGAATGTGTCCCGCATGGTATTATTTGACAGGGATGATGGCCCTGGCAGGTGCGCAACCGTTGTCGCAGAAGTTCGAAAAAGTTGCTCGCAAAAGCCCGTTTGACAGAATTGTTTAAAAAGTGTTGGTTTTCCTACGAATCCGCAAGAGCGCGCGGAAGAACATTTTGACAATTTTTTCTTAAAAAACCATTGGGTTTTTGATGTTTTTATGTTAAAATCGCTACGAAACCTAAGGTTTTGGAAGGATTTCGTATTGCGCGCACGAATGTCCACTTTACCTCATTTTTTGTAAGGGATTCTTGAAATTTGATCAGGTAAGAAGAAGAATTTTCATTTTATAGTGTTTTTGCAAGGGAAAACGCAACGTAACAAAAAACCGGATCCGGACATAATCCACTTTTCTGAAGCTTTCGCGAAAAAATGATGAAAATGTAGCTGCGGCCTAGGTTTTGGAGGGGGGTCGCGCACCAGGGGTCCCAACAATAATTATTCTTTAGAAGTAATAATGTTCAACAACAACAACAACAACAACAACAATCATTTTACCCGAACGCTCAGTGTTCTCACCAGTGCCAGGGTTTTCATGCGACGCGAGACAATACCCCCACTTCGTGGGGGGGCAGTTCAAGCTCTACCAAATATCCAAACGACTCTTCGCGACCACCCAAACCCAGCTTCCCGCCCTATGACGTTGGGACACTTCACTTCGTGGCGTGCGGACGACCGTGGCTACTACACTGGCGTGGGGTACACACCCACAGAACTTGGTCACTTATTCGGGGCGCGCGTGTGCCCAGCATCCTGCAATTGTGACATACAATACATGACACAGACAGACAGAGAGAGAGACAGAGAGCAGACAGAGAGAGAGACAGAGAGAGCGGAGTTGGTCACATTTTTGGGGCAAGTTCCTGAGATCGTCGTGTTTTTTGTTGGTCTTGCGCGCGCGAATGTCCACTTTATTTTTTTTTTTTGCAAGGGAGTATTGAAATTTGATTATGTTAGAACAAGAAAAAATAGCTCGCGCGAGCTCATGTAACATAAATGTTGAAAAACCATTGGTTTTGTGGGAGTCGGACAGCGCGCGCGGGATGAAATTTGGACATTTTTTTTTGAAAAACCATTGGGTTTTTGATGTTTTTATGTTGAAATCGTTACGAAACCTAAGGTTCTGGAAGGATTTCGTCTTGCGCGCGCGAATGTCCACTTTACCTTATTTTTTGCAAGGGATTATTGAAATTTGATTATGTTAGAACAAGAAAAAGTAGCTCGCGCGAGCTCATGTAACATAAATGTTGAAAAACCATTGGTTTTGTGGGATTCGGACAGCGCGCGCGGAAGGACATTTTGACAATTTTTTCTTAAAAAACCATTGGGTTTTTGATGTTTTTATGTTAAAATCGTTACGAAACCTAAGGTTTTGGAAGGATTTCGTCTTGCGCGCACGAATGTCCACTTTACCTTATTTTTTGCAAGGGATTCTTGCAATTTGATCAAGTAAGAACAAGAATTTTCATTTTATAGTGTTTTTTGCAAGGGAAAACGGAGTACAACAAAACAACCGGATCCGGTAATAATTCACTTTTCTGAAGCTTTCGCTAAAAAATGATGAAAATGTAGCTGCGGCCTAGGTTTTGGAGGGGGGTCGCGCACCAGGGGTCCCAACAATAATTATTCTTTAGAAGTAATAATGTTCAACAACAACATCAACCACAACCACAACCACAACCACAACCACAACCACAACAACAACAACAACAATCATTTTACCCGAACGCTCAGTGTTCTCCCCAGTGCCAGGGTTTTCATGCGACGCCAGCCAATACCCCCACTTCGTGGGGGGGCAATGCAAGCTCTACCAAACATCCACACGACTCTAGGGAACCACCCACACCCAGCTTCCCGCCCTATGACGTCAGGACACTTCACTTCGTGGCGCGCGGACGATCGTGGATACTACACTGGCGTGGAGTACACACCCGCAGAGGTTGATCACTTGTTTGGGCCCCGCATGTGCCCCGCATCGTGCATTCGTTGCGCATGACATAGAGAGAGCAAGACAGAGAGAGAGAGAGAGCAAGACAGAGAGACAGAGAGAGAGAGAGAGAGCAAGACAGAGAGCCAGAGGAGAGAGAGATAGAAAGAGATTCGTCACATGTGTGAGGCAACCTGAGAAGATGTGGTACACGGTACACGTGAGATGGTACGCACTGCCAAGATAGTTGGTCACATTTTTGGGGCAATTTCCTGGGAAGGCGATGAAGCAGAAAGCGAGATAGATGTGTTCATATGATAGATATGAAGCAGAGAAAGAGCGAGAGACATAGAGAAGGAGAGAGAGGAGTCGGTCACATCTTTAGGGCAACTTCCTGAGGGATGTGGGAGGACACAAGAGAGAAGGTATCGTTGTCCCGATGGTTGTCTCGATGGTTGCCCCGATGGTTGTCCTGATGGTTATGGTTGTCCCGATCGTTTTCCCGATGCGCGAAGAAAAAACGAATGTGTCCCGCATGGTATTATTTGACAGGGATGATGGCCCTGGCAGGTGCGCAACCGTTGTCGCAGAAGTTTGAAAAAGTTGCTCGCAAAAGCCCGTTTGACAAAATTGTTTAAAAAGTGATGGTTTTCCTACGAATCCGCAAGAGCGCGCGGGATGAGATTTTGACAATTTTTTATTTAAAAAACCATTGGGTTTTTGATGTTTTTATGTTGAAATCGTTCCGAAACCTAAGGTTTTGGAAGGATTTCGTCTTGCACGCGCGAATGTCCACTTTAGCTTATTTTTTGCAAGGGATTCTTGAAATTGGATTACATTTGAACAAGAAATTTCATTTTATAGTGTTTTTTGCAAGGGAAAGCGGGGGGGAACAAAACAACCGGATCCGGTACTAATCCACTTTTCTGAAGCTTTCGCGAAAAAATAATGAAAATGTAGCTGCGGCCTAGGTTTTGGAGGGGGGTCGTGTACCAGGGGTCCCAACAATAATTATTCTTTAGAAGTAATACAACAACAACAACAACAACAACAACGACGACAACAACAACAATGACTAAAACAAACGGATCGGGAGGGAACTTAGGACCCAGGGAAGGCAGTAGAGGAGATTTGAAGGGGACGGCGTAGATGAGGATTCAGAACAATTACCCGCGCTGGGGCGAGACAAACAGCCGCAACAGGAACTGGAGTGGAAGGATCGGGAGGAGTAGGAGAAACAGGGGAAGACGGAGGAGGTGAAATGAGGGGGGGCACAATGAAGCAAGACTCAGATCCAGAAAAGTGGCCCGCGCGCCATTCTGAACGACGGAAGCACAGCGCCGATCCTAAACTGAGGCCGCGCTGCAGCGGGAGCACCATTTTGAAACACCAAAAACAATAGGAGTGTAAAACACAAACCAAATCAATGCTTGAAACCCTGCGTAAAAAAACACGCGGAGGGGACGGGATGCTTCCAGGCAACTTCAGGGGATGAGGGAGAGTAGTATTCATAGTGTCGAAATGTGGAGGAGCAGAGTGACAGGAATGGAGGAAAGGAAGATGAGGATAAGGGAAAAGGGAAGGGAAGGAGCAGAAGGGAAGGAAACGAAATGGAGGATCATAAAAGAAGACTGTAGACACGTACGGCTTGGATTGGAACAACTATCAGACGCCCCGTGGCGAATCTAAACGTGTATACGATTTGTATCATGTCAGATACCCGACATAATCATAGGCAAGTAAAGGCATCACTGCTGCAAGCAAGACGCGACTATGGTTTGTGCGTACACGTGCAGGGGATTTCTAACACGCGATGCACGATGTTTCACAGCCGCACAAAAATCATACATACTGTTTCACACATTCTGGTGTGTATGCTGACGGCCGCTTGGATCTCAACTGATCCTGACCTCAACTTTCCGCCAAAACGGCACGGGATGACAACCCAGAAATGGATCCGGCTATCATCCGTAGTGGGCGCCAGCTCGAGCCGCCCGCTAAGAATGCTGTGTCTGGTACCTCGCATGTACATGGACAGGCCGTCCCTGCCAACATATTTGCTTAGAGCGTCTGCAAGATTATCGTGGGCCTCTACCTCTATTACTTCGATGTATCCTCGTCGTACGGTCTCTTGTAAAAAATGTATGAGAAACCTCCATGTGCTCGACTTGTCCTTGCCCTAACCAACGCGCAATAACCATAGCCGCGATGACATCGCTCTATAGCGCGATGCTTGACTCAATTCCAAAATATGTGAGAATTGCTTGTGGTCCTAGGCCTACTGGTTCACCCTCTACCATTACAGAAGACTCCGCTTCCCCAAGTGATAGCGCGACTACACATTGAATGAGACTGAATGAGACTCCACGGTTTCATCACTTGCAGTCCCCAGGAGCTGCCCTTTCATTCGATTAGTTACACGTCCACTTGCATCCGGCATAGTCCATTTCAGACCACACCGTAAACTCCTGAGGGCGCCCCTTGGTGCACGAAACTCACACCCTCCCTCACTGCTCCTGCTTCATTCCTCCCGGGGTCTAGACGCACCATCTTTCCGAGCTGCGTCCAGTCGTGGCGACCAGGGGGCCTCCCGAAGTCCAACTGCCATTGTCAACTGGCCCGCTTCTGACTCACTGCCCTTCCCTCAGTACTCTCGCCCCTGGCCGGGGCCCAGACCCTGTCATGCAGCGTGATCAAGTAGACGAGGCCCTGCACGTACAGGTTCCACCGCCCCAACGCCATCAGGGGGTAGAAATCCGCCGAGCCCCCGCTTGGCGGGCACACGCTGACATGGACTAGGGATCCGTGACTCTGGAGCGTGGGCGCCAGATCCACGGATCGGGGAGGGTACCCTGCCGCCGCTGCCGCCTGATTGGGCTACGGAGCGCGCCGACTCTGCACGGAAACGGAGACCGTCACCTAACAGATGCGTCCAAATCCATGTTTGCACCTCCTCGAGCTTGCCCGCCAGGGCCGGTACGGGGCGCGAGGCGCTCCGCCGCGTCCCCTGCCCACTCTCCTCCCCCCCCCCCGGGCAGACGCGCTCACGTCCCGGGAAAAATCACAAAGGGGGGGGGACGGGGGGGGGGCTTGGCCGTGTCCGGCCCCCTGGGGCCCTCGACGGGCCCCCAGACCGCGAAACGCGACTCGGATGAAAAGCTGGCTCGGGGAGGAAGGTCTTGGGATCTATGGGCACCACGCATTCAAACATTCAAAACATCGCATGGCGGGGCCCCCGCCGTGGGTGTTCAAAAAAGCACCCCTGGGAGGGCGGGGGGAAGGGGGGTCGAATGGATGGGGCGGCGGGGGCGAGGGAGGGGGTAGGAGCGAACTCTTCGTTGTTCCTTTTCCTCACCCCCGTCTTCCCCCTCCCTAAACCCATTCAACATTCCCCAATGCTCCTATTCTTCTTCTTCTTCCTCCTCCTCCTCCTCCTCCTCCCCCCCCCCCCCCCTCCCCTCCCCTCCTCTCCCCTCCTCCCTCCCCCCCCCCTCCCTCCTCCTCCTCCTCCTCCTCCTCCTCCTCCTCCTCCTCCTCCTCCTCCTCCTCCTCCTCCTCCTCCTCCTCCTCCTCCTCCTCCTCCCCCCACCCCCCATCCGAGGGGAATGGGGCGTCCCTGTCGATCCCCCCACACTATGAGGTCGGCGGGATGGTGCAAACCTCAAGGCTAAATGTGCTGGTTAGACACCAGGAATCGGGCGATCCGATCCATGCCGACAACCTTTTTGTGATACGTGTCCTTGGAGCGCATGTATTATCGGGATCAGTGGCACGGGGAGAAATGAGGAGTGCAGGATCAATCAGCATCGAATCGGAAAGTCGGATCGAATCGGCGTGTCGTCGGATCGGGTCGAATCGGCACGGAATCGGAATCGGATCGGATCGGCCAGCATCGATATCGAATCGGATCGATCGGATCGAACTGGGCCCTGGAATGTGACAAGAAGAGGGGCAGAGACGGGAGGGCAGAATACGCTTCGAACGAGAGCTGGGCAGCATAGAAACAACAACAGAAAGCAGGCGCGATCAGCGCCACGAGCATAACAGCATTCTGGTTCGGCGCGGCCTGTGCTCGTCCACCTCGCTCTCTTCCTCCTCGTCATGGTGCTCGCCCTCCACCTCGCAGTCCTCCTGCCCCACCCCCCTCGCTGCCCTCCTCGTCCTCAACGCTGTCCTCGTCATCCGCCCAGCGAGCCCGGTAGACAAGAAAGGCGCCTCCCTCTCTCACCTGGCCAGGGCAGCTGCAGGCCGAAGAGAAGGACGCACGCTCACAAAGCAGAAAGAACGAGCTGAGAACGGCCACGGAAATCAACAAGGGCTGCCGCTGTGCGGCACAGGACCGCAACACAAAGGCCTCGGCGCTGTGCAGCTGCGCAGGGCAATGCGCGCTGTGCGGGGCACTAGGCAGTAGAGGGCCCGTCACAGCAAGAGAAGCGGGGCGAGATGGAGGATGGAGCGCAAAGGTCGAAGGCACTGCAATCCCAGAAAGGCTTCTCGAAAATCTTGCTCGTGATTGCCAACATCGGCATGTGCTGGATGTTCGGATCGTGCTCGACGGCGTTACACCTTGGAATCACAACGACGACAAATCACCGAACCTGATCGGATAAGAACGGGAAGCGCCGCTGTAGTCAAATGGGCGTATTGGGCGAAGAAGAAAAGGAGAGCGAGGACAACGAGGAGTCGATGACGAAGACGGCGTGGCGAACGTGAGGATAGCGAGGAGGAGCATGAGGACAACGAGGAGGAAGAGAAGCACAAGGACGAGGACGAAGAGAACGAGGGCGAGTACGAGGAGGAATGCGGAGGGATATGATGACGACGACGACGACGACGACGACGACGACGACGGCAGAGGACAGTACGAGGCAATTAGAAAAAGACGTTGCTCCTGGCGCCGCGCGGGGTTCTCTTGGGGCCTGTTGGGGGCTTCTTGGGGGCCCCTTGGGTCCTCTTATGGGCTTCTGGGGTCTTCTTGGGCTGTCTGGGCGCGTCGTGGGGTTCTGTGGGAGCTTTCTTAGGCCGTCTCGGCGCTGGGGGCCTCCTGGGGCGCTCCCGGGAGTCTCTTGGGGCCTTCTTGGCCCTTCTCGGACCGTCTTGGGTTTCTTGTGAGCTGTCTGGGTGGCTCCGAGAGCGCTCGTGGGGCTCCTTTGGGGTCTTCTTGGGGCGCTCTTAGGCGCTCCTGGGGCTCTCCAGGGCGTCTTTTGGGCCTCCCTTGGGCCGTTGGGAAGCCCTCCAAGAGCGATTCGAACACGACGTCGATGCGGAGTCCGCTCTTGGGTCGATGTTTTGAGGATGTCTCGAGAGGAACGGCAATGTTTCAAAAATCTGTCGAGGTAGTCTGCCGTCCTGTGCATATGACGGACCTCGTGAGCTGTGAATGGTTCTTTGGGGCCCACGTGGGGGCCTGATTGGGGCTCGTGGGGAGCATTTTGGGAGCCTCTTGGAGGCTTCTGTGACCCTCTTGGACTGTCCAGGCGTCTCTCGAGGGTCTGTGGGGGCTCTCTTGGGCTGTCTTGGCGTTATCTTGGACCGTCTTGGGGCTCTCTTGGCCAGTCCTGGGGCCTCTTCGCGCGCTCGGGGGGGCCTCTGGGCGCCTCTTGGGGGCCTCTGGGCGCCTCTTGGGGGCCTCTTGGGGGTCTCTTGGGCCGTTTTGGGGGTCCCCTGGGGTGCCTTTGGGGGCTCTCTTGGGCCGCTTGAGGCCCTCCGGGAGCGACTCCAAGATAATGCTGGTTCGGAGCCCCCTCCGGAGCCGATGTTTCGAGGATGTCTCGAGCGAATCGGCCATTTTCCCGGAACCTGATCGGACAAGAACGGGAAGCGCCGCTGTAGTCAAATGGACGTATTGGGCGAAGAAGAAAAGGAAGGCGAGGACAACGAGGAGTCGGTGACGAGGACGACGTGGCGAACGTGAGGATAGCGAGGAGGAGCATGAGGACAACGAGGAGGAAGAGCAGCACAAGGACGAGGACGAAGAGAACGAGGGCGAGTACGAGGAGGAATGCGGAGGGCGATGATGACGACGACGACGACGACGACAGAGGACAGTACGAGGCAATTGGAAAAAAAAGACGTTGCTCCTGGCGCCGCGCGGGGTTCTCTTGGGGCCTGTTGGGGGCTTCTTGGGGGCCCCTTGGGTCCTCTAATGGGCTTCTGGGGTCTTCTTGGGCTGTCTGGGCGCGTCGTGGGGTTCTGTGGGAGCTTTCTTAGGCAGTCTCGGCGCTGGGGGCCTCCTGGGTCGCTCCCAGGAGTCTCTTGGGGCCTTCTTGGCCCTGCTTGGGCCGTCTTGGGGTTCTTGTGAGCTGTCTGGGTGGCTCCGAGAGCGCTCGTGGGGCTCCTTGGGGTCTTCTTGGGGCGCTCTTGGGCGTTCCTGGGGCTCTCCAGGGCGTCTTTGGGGTCTCCCTTGGGCCGTTGGAAAACACTCCAAGAGCGATCGAACCCGACGTCGACGCGGAGTCCGCTCTTGGGCCGATGTTTGAAGGATGTCTCGAGAGAAACGGCCATGTTTCAAAAATCTGTGACCCTCTTGGACTGTCCAGGCGTCTCTCGGGGGTCTGTGGGGGTCTCTTGGGCTGTCTTGGCGTTATCCGCCGACCCCTTGTGGGTCCCTAGGCGTGTGAGATAGTTCCCCCCCCTACAGTCCCCCCCCAGGGACCCCAAACTGGCGATTTGACCCCCCCCCCATGGCCCCGCCCGAGCGACTCACGGAGCTTCTTTGGGCTCAAAAGTCTCTCAAGGCGGCCCAAGAAGGCCCCAAGACTCCTCCAAGACGGCCCACGAGGGCCCCGAGACGCCAAACGAACGCTCCAAGGCGCCCAAGATGGCCCCAAGACGGGCCAAGAGGCCTCCAAGACGGCCCATGAGGCCTCCAAGAGCAGTTCTCAGAAGGGCCGAAGAGCCGAAAATCTTCAAATTCCTATGGAAAACGTACATTTTGATCATATACGGCTTCTCGGCCTTCACGGCGTTGAACACGGTCCAAGAGCACCCCAAGACCGCCCCAAGACGGCCCAAGAGGCCCCCAACACGCGCCCAAGTCCGCCCAAGAGGGCGCCAAGACAGCCCAAGAGGCCCCCAGGACGGCCCAAGAGAGCCCCAAGACGGCCCCAAGAGGGGCCCAAGAGAGGGAGCCCGAACTGACATCCCGAGCCTTCCGCCCCGAGACGGCCCTAAAAGGCCCCGAGAGGCCCCAAGAGGCCCCCAAGACGCCCCCAAGAGGCCCCAAGAGGCCCCCCAAGAGGCCCCAGAACGGCCCCAAAACGGCCCCCAAGAGGCTTCGAAACTGCCTCCAAGAGTCCCGCGAGAAGCACCACCAGAGATCCCAGCGATCATCGCACAAGCGGGATTCGCGCTCCCGAGGCGAAGAATTCCAAAACCATGACCCAGAACATTTCCTCCGCGTCCCCCTCCTCCTCCCCCTCACCCGCCTTGTCCACGTCGGCCCCCCAGTGGCGTCAAAACTGCTTTCCAGAGGCCCCCGAAAGGAGTGCCGCGAAATTCCGACACACATACAAGAACCTCTCACCCAAAGACCATAACCCAGAGCCTCCTCTCAGTGTCCCCCTCATCCTCCTCCTCAACCACCCTCTCCTCGTCCCCCTCCTCCTCGCCCCCTTCCTCTTGTTCATGGCCCGTCACCTCGACACGTTCGATGATTCTCCCCTGTGTCCTCCGCCTCACCCCCCATTCTCCTGTCCTCGTTCTCCTTTTTCCTCAGCGCGCGCGCCCGATTCGGCATCATTTGCAGGTCTTGCACTTCAGAGTGCCTTTTTTTGCGTCGCGCGGGACATTGTGAGGGTCGGGGAACGCCGACTTCGGTAGTCTTCTCTTGCACGCGCCGCTGCACTGATACGCCTGGCAACTGCGGGCTGTGAACCCGAGTGCCGCGCAGCTTCCGCACACCACCTTTTTTTGATTCGACCATCGATGATGTTCTTTTTGGCTCTGCCTCAAATGTTTCGTGTCTGAGAACGCTCCTCCGCACGCCGCGCACGTCAGCGGCTTCGCTTCCGCCTCGGCTCTCCGTTTCCTATTATTGGACTCAAGCGTCGTCCTCTGACGTTCTTCCGCGCATTTCCGACAAGACGGCACCAAGAGGGGCCCAAGAGGGCAACCAAAAATTCAAAAATCTAGCTTCCCGCCCCCACGAGCCCCAGGGGGCCCCAAGAGTGCCCCAAGAGGCCGCCAGAGGCCCCCAAGAGGCCGCCAAGACGCCCCAAGGAGCCCCCAAGAGGCCCCCAGGAGGCCTCCAAAAGACCACCAGACGCTTCCGCATTGCGAGCCGTCAAGCCAACTGCAATGCACTCCGCGCATGCAGCCTTGCTCTTCCTCGCGACGTGCTCACAATCTTGCTCGGCGCTGTGCTACGCGACGTGCTGCTGCTACGCGAACTGTTTCGTGCGCGCTGCGAACGTCAACAGCCTCTTCACCCGTTTCGACTCATCTGCCACATCTTTCGCGGTGATGCTTCGCTGATCACAGCTTCCGCACGCTACTCTTGCTCCTTTCGTCTTCCGGTGCTCCTCCACTTGGTTGAGGGGCGAGAGGCCGACCTCCCAGAAGGACACCCCGCACCCGGGTGCACAGCACGCAAAGCGCTCGCAAAACACGCCCCAGACCACCGGCATCACGCAAACATGTGAACCCCCTACGTATCTGCCACCACCCGCGCGCGACACCGCACCCTCACACAAGACGCCGCTGGCCAGAAAC